ATAAAGTAGCCTAAATAAAATAATCAAATAAATTAAAAATAGATAATAGGCCAATGTATATGAGAACTATAAATCAAATCACTCTTAATTTAAAGAAAATAAATCAATTTAAATTAATAAATAAAACAAAATGAATAATAAGGTAGAACTCATAAAATGAATTCTCAGTGCAAAAGGCCAAAGAAACAGAATTACAGGAGAGAAAGAAGGAGGTAACTTTTGAGGGACGATTTAAAGGAAGAGATAGCATTAGAACGGACCCCTGGCCCTTCCGGCCCCTTTCAACTGAGTACTAAACTTTTCCCTTGGCAGCATACGATCAAGACTTAGGCTAGTAGACCACTGTCACCGCCGACACATTTATCCCCGTTATCTGAGAATTTGACGACACTGCTGATTATCGGTGGGAGACTGCAAATGAATCTTCATTAAAACGATCACTTCTCATCACAATACCAATTATTTTTCTGCTGCAAACCGCTTCACGGCGACACCGTTAAACGATGTGCAATTACTTCCCCTCGTACTTGAACCAACTTTTCTCGTTAAAATTTGTGTACTATAGCTTTTCTGGTAGGCTTATAGGGAAAACTTGGAAAATCTTTAAAATAAATATTAATATGTTTTCTGATGTCATTTATTTATTTTGTTTTTTGATGGAAATTGGCACTGATTACCTACATGCGCTAGTGATACAGTATAATGGACGTTCGTTCATAGTATAGTGCATTCTAACGCAGATTTGTTTTTTAATGGAATTAGTCAACAATAAGTTTAAATTGCCTTCAGAAGGTAGAGAAGCGCATTTCGGAAGGAGTCAGAATTATCCAAAAGGACCTAAAGTTATCTGTCATTAATATGCAGCAGGAATTATGCCACGCAAGAGTCACAAGTACATACAAGGCAAAACGCGACACTCAAAACTGTTATTCTGAACTACTGTCAACCCTCAACAATGACATATACACAGACATAATGTGCAAATTTTGCAATATAAAGTTGTATGTATATTTGCTCTTTGCATTAAAGTTAATTGAAAAAATACATGTGAATGCATGGTTTGATTCAGTATTTAACATACTTTTAATGTTAGTCCGAAATTACAGTGTGTTTGCATTGACAAATTTTAACTATGAAAAGGAATAACCCCCTGTCTGGAAGGAAATTGAATGGGGGATTCAAATATGGTATGAAATTAATGGTAGTATGAAAGGGGCGACATGAATCTTGGAAAAATGTTAAGTTTGTGATCCTCGAAAAAGACAAATACTGTATTTCCATTCGTAAAATATTTAACCTCACCCTAATCCATTTTTTTACGCCATATCTGAATCCCTCATTTTATTACCTTTCAGAAAATGTATACTTTACTTGAGGTAGGGATAGTACTTCTCGAGTTAAATCATGAATGACGGTGGTGTTTTTTTTTTGTTTTTTTTTAAGAATTAGACAATGTAACGCTATGGGTGGCGAGTTCAAAACGCATGGCCATATGGCAAATTCTTCAGGCTCTGCAACAAAATGCTGTGACTTGCCCATATATGACATGATGAAGTTGTTTAATAATATTTGTCAATTATAGTCGTTTTTCTCATGGTTACAAAATGCATCATGCTGAAAAGTACCTCCTAAGGAGCAGGCAATCACTGAATCAGAAGAGACTACAATTTAATGTCAAACTATTTATTAGCCATATTTTTCACACCTATATATGGGAATGGTGATGTCATATTATACCCATACATGATCAAACCAGATTTTCGTAACATAAAACTTGATAATATTTTGAATAATTACATAAAAATGTGACAGGAATTATTTGAAAATTTTAATAATGACCACAAGATGTGTAACAGCTGTCTCTTATACACATCTAGATGTGTATAAGAGACAGAATTAAAACAACAAAGGGAATAAAGTAGCCT